TCAAGATTTCCAAGAATGTTTTCCTTGAAGAATTTTTTAAAATCTCGTTTTAAAAGAACGTCTTTCTGAAGAAGTCAACATTTGTTACAGGAAATGGAACTCTTCAGAAGGTAGTCAGCTACAAACCTGTTAAACAATATTTACTTTTTAAACGAATGTAACTCACAAGTGGATGTCTTTAGTACCCTGTAGCTTGTTTACCCGTTTGAGAGACATCATACAATAGCCTTGTACTCATGGCTCCGTGAATACGCTCGGAAGGTATGAGAACAACTTCGTCCTTTCTTAGGAGAAAAAAATCCCGGTTAGTATGGACTGATTTCTGTATCCTAGGGAGGGGACAGTTGTTAGTATAACTGTGCCTTCGCAGACACCTGACCCAGGAGGGGACTCAGAGGCCAGAACTTCGGGCAGAAGTTTTAACCAGGCCATCTGTATTTAGTCGCATTTTATTGTAATTCCCATGTTTACTGGCATAAAGGCAGTGAAGACGACTGTGACTTTAAGATATTTTGGAGGATTTTACTAAAGATTTGTCAAGATAAATACGTACACATAAGATATTCTTAGTACAACTACGTAATAGGAGATACGTAATATATCGCATTTTAAATCATAAGTTACCGGGGTGTATCCCTTTTCTGTTCGTTTGATGCCAGCATTTTTGTATCTTTTTGAAAACCTGTGGTAAACAATCAGTTGACTTTAAAAACGGGCTGCAGTTTTTAGCTGTATCCAGAGGGGGCGCCAAAAGCCCAGAAACTGTCTGACACAGAAACTGCGGAAAACTTTGATGGTGGTGGACAGGGGGTGGTGTGTTCCATTCAGTCAGGACTGCGTATTGCTGCTGAGACTTATCTCGGCAGAAATTCCTACTCGATATCCCCTCCCGTGCGGATCCACCTCTGGGCATCCCAGTTAGGGGAACCGGGAGGTGTGTGTCTATAGGGCACGGGGCAAAAATAAAAAAGCGTTCGAGATGCCTGACGTTTCTGTTCTGCACAGAACGGGGACACCGAGACCACAATGGCTCCCAGGTGCCGAGCGTCGCCCTCTGCTCGGCGTGCCGGGACCAGGCCAATTCTGACCCGTGGGCACCGTCCATTAGCCAGTGGGGGCGATCCTGCCTTTCTGCAAGCGGTCGGGTGCCAACACTCCACCTCTCTGCTGGGGCTCTTCTGCGTCGCCCTTGACCTCCCTAACCTGCCCAAGGGAAGAACGCTCGCAGTCCCCGACCGGAGCACCTGAGTCAGAGAGAACCCGAGGGAAAGAAACCCGTGCCACAATGTTCCGCTTACAGATCGGGAAACTGAGGCTGTCGGCCCAGTTTCAGCCAGAGCGCTCTGCCTAGGAGCTAAACAGTCTAGTGGGGCTGAGGGAGGAAAAGGACGCAGATCAAGAAAAGGGGCAGGCGATGGACCGCACTCCACGGATCCCGAGTCGCGCTCTTGGGTCCCGCTCCACAGCCAGCGCCGTGAGGTCTGCCGCCGGGAGCGGAGCCTTGGAGGTGCGAGCGGATCCCAAGGAGAACCTCGGGAAACCGAGGTCTGGGATACCCCCCCCCCACCACCACCACCACCGCTTCTCTCCTTCTAGGCGTCGGGGGCCGGCGCCGGGCTCAATTTCCCCAGCCCGGGCGGCCAATCTCCCTCCGCGTCTACGCGGGAGCCCAGGCAGGAGCCCAGGGGTGCTGGCGCTGAGCAAGTTTCCCTGGCTCCGGGGGGGGGGGGAGTGCAGAACCCTTATTTCAAGGAGCGTGTACCCTCCTGCTAGAGGGCAGGCAGCAGTGTACCAGAAGACAAGCCTCCTCCCGCAAGAGCAGGGGGGGGGGGGGGGGGGGGCTGGCGCAAACGCCGGGGGTCTGGGGGGGTTCCGTCTCGGATGGGGGTGGACGGTGTGAGCGGATGGGGTTCCCTTTGTCTGGGGGATTAAGGACCACGACCTCCCTCTACAAAATTCCTTAGCAAAAGTGGGGACTGTGTCTAAATCCGTTTTCTGCAGGGAGGCAAGTCCTGGAAGAAATTGGTCAGGGTGAGAGCGGCAGCATCTCCCAAAGATCTCAGCCCCGGGTAACGTTTTCTACATAAGTGCTCAGGACGAGGGATGCCCCTTCTCTGTGCCAGTTCCCCTGGCCTGGTTCCCTTGAGGTCAAAGACCCCAGTCCCTGGCGGGACACTTAGGTCCCCGGCCCTCCCTCCGCTGCCAACCGCTCCTGGGTAATTAGCACTTTTCACTGGGCGTGGAGCCTGTTTGCCTGTCGCTCTTCGCGCGGGACACCAGTTCTCTTAGAAAAGGAGCGGCAGGTAAGCTTGTCCCAGGACAAGCGTTGAGCCGGACGGCAACAGCAAGAGAGCAGAGGAAAGTCCCAGGTCGCTTCGTTAGGTACGCAATAAATATCTGTTGACCGGCCAAATAAATGTGATCTTTGGACATCGCAGGCCTCCAGACCTCCCAGCAACACGTTCCATAAACGCATGTGACTGTATGTTTCCCCATGTAAATTTCTCCCCAAACGGGCACCCCACTCTGGGAGATTAACCGACCAGTGTCACCCAAGACTATATAATTCCAACGCCCCTAAAACTGCAGGCCGAGAGGGGCATTTCAGTTTTCTTCCCCTCTCTGTTTTCGAAGAGGAAAGGGGCTGAGGTGGACGGGAGGAGGTGTCGGGTGAAGGAGGCACGAACCGTCAGTGTGCTCCCTGGTGACCCGGCCGGGCCGGGGGTGCAGACCCGAGCCAAAGCAAGAGACTGGATGAGCTAGCCCAGGGCTGGCCGGTATCCGAGGGGGAATGGAGGGGTCGGAGTGGGGAAGTCTCAGTCCCAGTCCCAAAGCGACTTGGCTTCCAAAGGGAGTGTGCGCTCTTTTTTTTTTAACCTTACTTTTTTCGAAAATATCTGTTTTTAGTCAAGGTACAAGGGAGCTGCGCGTCATTCGGATTGCCTCCACGCATGCATCCCTAGAACGACCTGCGGGAAATTTCCTGGGCCAAGTGTTTTTTGCTTTTTTTGGTCCCTCCACAATTTTCCTCTTTTAAAAATCTCTCAGGCATTTTTCAGCTGAAGGTGCTTTTGCCTTGATGTTTCAAAACTACAAA